TCTTGGTGCAGGCTTTGACCAACGCCTTCCCTCCCACAAGGGGCCGTTGTCGCTCATCGCACTCAGCCCATTTACCTGGCAGCTTGGACAACAGAGGATATGGCTTCGACGTCGCATCACGCACATTAGTCAAAGAGTCGCGCACTTTGGACTCCGCTGCGCTTCGGCGAGGCCCGGAGTTACAGATTCCGGCAGGGTATGTTGCTGATTTACGTGGCACAAAGCGGACTCTTCACCAGTCTATCTGTCCAGATACCTCCAAGCACATTACAAAGATTGCCAGCTCTGCTATGGAGTGGCAGAAGCCACGACGCTGGGGCTTCAGCTATCCCGCTGAGGGCTATGCATCATATAGACACAAACAGACACACACACACACACACACATTGTATATGTATGTGTGCTTATATTTCGGTACAGGTACATCTGTGATTGTCGTGCTATTTCTTGGCACTCCTTCTGCACATGCAATAGGAGACAAACCGGAGTCGTACTCCAAGGGTTGAGGCTCCTGAAAGTTCCACCGTCGCTCAGTTCAGGAATCTGCGATGGAGATCGAAGCCTTTGGGCACCCAGCTGATAACGCAGGCTGCAGAAAGGCATTACAGCCCCAAGAGCTCCAAAACCCCACAGCCAAAAGCCCTAGGGCATTAAGAACCCTCGGAACCCCATGCCATCCTCCAGGTTTCCTCCCGGCCACCTCCTGGAAGGACAGCCCGCCGCCAGCAAGGCATCAGGGAAGCCGCGCTTTGGGAACCTGGTCAGGCTTTGGGGCCTTGGGCTTCAGGCTTGAGGGCTCTAGTGTTCTGGGTTTGGAGAACGTTGGATCAAAAGCAAGGATGAGTTGACATCATACACACCATCGACATCATAGCAGTAATACAGATCCACGTAGTAAGACCACAGCGAGAAGTTGTAGCATCCGCGCAAAACGTCCAAAATAACAGCCGATCTCCAACATTTGAGGCTGTAGGTGTCTTTTCTGCCCATGGCGGTTCAGCTTGCATCAGCCACGCAAGAACCTTCTACAACCTAACATAATGATATAAAGATGTGCTGAGGACCTTTGGAAGCCCAAAACCTAAAACTTGTGCATGCCCTTAGCCTGTAAAGCCTCCCAAAAACACTGCAAACACCCAAAGCCTAAACCCTTAGTTGCGCCTCAGACCGTGGAGGCTTTGCTCGAAGTTCTCGGCGGCTGCCTGCAGCGAGACCCCAGGCGCTGAAAGGGTGTGCACTTGTTTGAAGTGGGTCCTCGTGGTTGACGGTGCAGGGTTTGGGGATAGAGGACTTAGCTAGCGTGTGGTGTTCTGTAGTTTTCGCTATTCGCGAACGTCTTTGGGGTTGCGGGTTCAGGACTGTGTTTCCTTGGTAGTCTCTACTTTCAACGGCGGCCGGGCTTGACCGAGTAAAGCAAGGATCGACATTGGATCGGAGAATGAGAATCCGATGTGTGCAAACACTTCAGAAACTCTTTCGGTCGCACTTCCTGGCTTCAGGCGCCGGCCGTCTTTGTCCGAGCTGCTGGCACACCGTCTGCTTTATGCAGAGGCATCGATGCAGATGAGAGACTCGAGATCAGTAGTGCATTCGGGCTGAAAGGGCTTGTGTGGCTGTTCATCCAACATACCAGGGGGGCAGGGCCCGAACACCAGAGGGGCCGGAGCCTTACCCATAAACCCCCGTGCCCATGAACGCCGGGCAAGACGATGATTTGCGGCTTTTACACTTCGCGACTTGGCATCGAGATTTTTCTTTGCATCACTCCACTCTTACAGCGATGACCCTGGCAGCGAGTCCGCTTCAGAGATCCATCCCGACTGGACATTTGGGGGATTTCTGGATGGGTGGGTTTCATTGTGGGAAGTAGTCAAACCCAACATGCTAAGGCTCCTGCGGAACCCAGTATAACCTCGGCCAATGCTCCGAAAGTTGTTCCTAATGGAGGGGTTCTGCACCGGGGTTCCTCGCTTTGCAGGCCTTGCCACTCAGCATCACGCGAACCCCGCCTCTTGGCTGCTCACGATATGAGTGCACAGGCTTGTGTATGGCTGTAAGGTTTTGACGTCCAGAGCTTGCGTGCAGGGTTTCGGGAGAGGTGGTGACAAGGCAGAAACCCACTCGCATGCTCGACTGCATGACGAAAGCATGCACTTCTAAACAAGGTTCTCTGCAGCACACTGCCCCCTTAAACATGAAGCCTTTCCTGTCCTGCATGCAATCCAAGGAATGGGAGACAGAGTAGAGCCCAAAATCCTGCCGTCACTCTTGCCTGAAGACTCCAAGTCGTCCCTAAAGCCCTAAACCCTGAACCAAAAAATGTGCCTGCGCAGACCCTGCAGCCAGGAGCCCGAAGCCCTCACCTGCAGAGTGCAAATAAATAGGGCGTTACGGTGCAAATCTGTGTCTGAGTGAAAGTCCACATGCAGCCTTGCCCTTTGAATCGTGCACCGGAGCACCCCTGCTCGGACCTCAATGTCAAAGCAAATGTTCCTCGATCCTTCTGAGTGGTAAGTTCCGTCGCAGCTTTCAACGAGATTTGATGTCTCTCTGTACGCAGCAATTCTTTTTTTGCGCGTATCACGGCATTCGATAAGGCCTTCAGACAAACACTGACTCACCGCATGATCCATTGCCGCTGCCCGAAAAACGCCCTCATCAATCCGTAGTGTATACGTCCCAAAGGTTTCAGGCATGTCGCACAATTAATTGGCAATCACGAGGGAGAAACTCCACAGACCGGCTTGTCACACTGCAGGCCAGTGGATGAGGAGGCGGGACTATCACGCTTGCCAGTTAGGTGCTGATGCCTTGAAGGGCTGTGGTTCTCGGCACGGCGTCCCACGACGAATAGCATCTCCAGAAGTAGGAGGGCCATATCCCACATCCTCGTCGTATAAAGCTTGGGTTAACAATCGCAAGAGCAGTAGTGCTAACACTGTTGGTGATGACTCCAAGGGCGATGTCAACTGCGGCAGCATACTCAGTGACAGTGGCAGACGGAGCAGTACTTGCAATGATGTGAGCGACGATAACTCCTATTGTCGTCATCACCATCGGAATCATCGTCATCACCGTAACCATGCCAATCGCAATCGTCATCACAGTCACAATCAACAGTGGGAAGCAGGTCGCTCGAGCTTTGGAAGGGTTTTGCAGGCAGACAATACCGGAATGTACATGTTGAGCAATGCCAGGGCGTTCGTAAATAATCCATGTTAGGGTTTTGGATTCAGGTAAGGTGTGGACGTTGAAGATTGTGTATCCTGTGTGTGTATGTATATATAGATATATATATATACATACATATATATATATATATAGCATATTTCCCAACCTAGTTCTGCCCCTCAATATAACCGCGGCACTTCTACCCGGAGTGCATAATTGCAGTTGATGAGTTTCTAATTGCCCGCACTTCCACATAGGCTATGGACCCCCAAAGGCAGTATCGCACTCTGACATCTACCAGTCCTGTGGAACTCACCGGATTGCCAACAAGTTGCCTTTAAGCAGACTCACTCGACCGCACAGGGTACAAGAAGTCATCAGTTGTGTTGGAAAAACCCGGGCCCCCGCTTGCGCAGGCTCCCGGACCCCTGCAGGCATGTCGGCGGGCTTTGCAGGGGTGCGTTGGATTTTCAATGCTACCGTTGCCCTAAACCTGTGCTTCTGCTGAAGTGTGAAGTTTGCTGCATTGGGTTCTTGTTCTTGTCCGCATGTTTCTGCCACCGATGGTGGTCTCCAATTAGTTCATGTAAAGTATAATGTAAATGCCTAGCTGGCGCACACGCACGTACAAGGAGACCCCCAGTTGAGACTATCTTGTGGGGTTTTCTAGAATTTCAGTATTTCTAGCACGATACGTCAAGATCTGCGGCGATGCCACCCGACACACAAATCTCAGGGTGAATGGGTGTATGCATGTATGTACGTATGTACGTATGTATGTATGTATGTATGTATGTATGTACGGAGGTCTGTGCTTTTGCTTGCAAGTTTGTTTGCGTGTATGAGTTTCTGTAAGCATGTGTATGTACATGTCTTGGTACGAATGTATGTTCATCTAGAGGGAGGCACACTGAGAGAAAGTGAAAAGAGCATATACAGAGAGCGACACAGAGAGAGAGGGAGAGAGAGAAAGAAATAAAGACAGGAACAACACAGAGACTCGGACTTTACAATATACTCTAGATTTGGAAGGCCGCTGGTGCGGTTCTGGTTCGCACGACCGGCTTCGTATCTGAGTTTTCATTTGCAGCGCTTCGATACGAGTTCTGCCTGAAGGCCTCGAAACGTGGCCTCAGGTACCAAGTCTCGTGGTCTCATAGTGACTATAATAGGCACGCTGCGAAGGAAGCCGAATTGAGACAAGCCCTTGGATATTCAGGAGCGCCCTGCGAAGAATCCCGAGGCCGGGTATGTTCTGTTTCTCGGTATCCTGCTTGCAGTAAGTCTTTCCAACATCCTCTGGCCGCGACCAGAAATACCACGGCTTCTTTTTTCAGCTGTTGTTTTCAGACATCTGCCTGCAGAATGGCGTCTCATGCCGCACTCAGGCTTGTTTCCACAACTGGCAAAACGGAGTTCCAGATAATCAGGGACCCGGACGCGCCCTACATAGCAGAATCCTTATCAAAAGAACCCTTGAATAGCGACTGCAAGTTAGCCAGCCAAAGCATCCCAAAAAACGTCATTCCTGGCCTCGGCACTCACTTTCAGACTTCTGGGCTTGCAGTGCCATGCCAAAACCTGACCCGAAATCTGCCCCTGGAGGCCCGCGAGCCTGCGCCAAGCCAGGACGAGGCGAATCGCAGCGCTGCCTCGTCGTAGGGTGATTGGGGCTTTTGGGTGTTGGGGTCTTAAGGTCTCTCAAAAAGCCTAAACCCCCAAGCCATAAGGAACCACAAACACAACACCTCAAAACCTTTTTGGGAGATCCCTCGCACCAGAACTGGCCCATTCTTGAAAAGGTTGCTCTAACTTAGCATAGATCAGGCATGTGGGCCACCACAAGCTGCGAAGAATTGAGAAGCTGCCAGATCACGACATTGACATGACGCATGAAGTTCCAATCTTGCAAGCGCCATGCGAAGCGTCGTCCAGAAAAATCTTGAGGAGGCACAAACACCTTGGTCGAGGAAGCTGCTTCCCGCTGCGACGCCGACCCTGCATGTCATGCGCTCGTGCCGCCGTAATGACGCAACCACATGCAGCACCCCAAGCGACAAGACGTGACACGACATTCTGCAAAAAGCGCCACTGCTCCCAGCTTCTTCGGGGCGTGATCTCGCCGCTTCGCAGCTTCTGTGGATTTGGCGGCCGAGACAACGAGTTGCATTTTCAAATTTGCGTCCCAGAAAAGCGTTCAGGAGCTTCATTACTGAGCAATAGTACTAGGTTCCACCTCCACACAGATCAATGTTTTTTGGAACCATGGTACATGTCATGAAGCCTCATCGTACTCACCATGAAAACTGAAGGCGGGCATCATGATCAGAGAGGGAAAAACAAACAGCGAAGGCAAGATAAACAGCAACAAGAACGGCATGATGCTAATGGGGAGTCTTCGCAGCGCACTAACTGCGAAGGCACCTGCCCGGAAGCCTGGGACTTTGTCCCTCGAGGAGCTCCTGCCCGGTGCCCCAGGGTTTTTCTGTTGGTGCTTTTCGGATAGTCTTCGGAGCAGCTTAGAGGCTTAGAGGTCTAGAGGCTGCAGCTGCCACGATGTTCCAACAATTTGTGGTTGCTGCAGCCTTTGAGACTGCAGCAGAAGTCTGTGCCTTGGTCACAGGCATGCGCATCCGTGCATTTCATGCCTCCTGGATGCCGCCGGGTGCGCCGAGCACCTCGCCACAGCTTCTGGAAAGACTGCAGCAAGCGCTTCATTCAACTTCTGGTGCCTTGCATTTGGCGACGCCCGAGTGGCACTCATCTCCGCAGGCTGCCCTCGACATCCTCCGCGAGTTGAAGAAGATGAGAAGAGACGACTTAGGCTGTCAACTGGCAAAGACACTTTCCGATAGAAACCTTGGGCTTCAAGGCTTCGCCTTGGGCATCGGCATGGCTGCTCGGGCCAGGGAGTGGCAGCTGGCCGTGCATCTCTTCGGGGCATTTTCGGAGAAGCTGGATCCCAGCGTCGTTTGCTGCAACTTGCGCTGTCTAGTACAAACAAGGCTTTCGTGCATTAAACAAGACGAAAGTAAGGAGTTTACAAGTTTTCTGCGTTGCTGCAAGTAACGAAGGCAACGCTGCCATCAGCTCTTGCGAGAAGGGTGGGCAGTGGAAGATTGCACTGCATCTGTTTAGCTCGATGCCCGAGCTGCGACTTGCGCCCAACATTGTCAGCTACAATGCCATCATCAGCTCCTGTCACAAGGGTCAGCGGTGGCAGCTGGCTCTGCAGCTCTTCGGATTGATGCCGACAGCTCGACTTTCGCCCGATGTTGTGAGCTACAGCGCTGCCGCTGGTGCCTTCGAGAAGGGCCGGCAGTGGCAGCTGGCCCTGCAGACATTCGGGTCGATGCTCGAAGCTCAAATTAGTCCTGATGTCATCAGCTACAGTGCAGCCATCAGCGCTTCAGAGAAAGGCGCACATTGGCAGTTGGCACTGCAGCTATTCGGTTCGATGCCCGAAGCCAAGGTGGCTCCAAACGTCATCAGCTACAGCTCCGCACTCAGCTCTTGCGAGAAGGGTGCGGAGTGGCAGCAGGCTTTGATTCTCTTCGACTCGATGCCCAGAGTTCAAGTGACACCGAACGTGATCAGCTACAGTGCGGTCATCAGCTCCTGCGAGAAAGCCGGGAAGTGGGAGCTGGCCATGCATGTTTTCCACTCCATGCCCGAGGCCAAGCTTCAACCAGATCTCATCAACTACAATGCGGCCATCAGCGCATGTGAGAAAGGAGGGCAATGCCAACTGGCCCTGCGGCTGTTCCGCAGTCTACCTAAAGCTGAGCTGTCGCCGAATGTCATAAGCTACAATGCTGCAGTGAGCTCCTGCGAGAAAGGCATGGAATGGCAGATCGCTCTGCAGCTCTTCGACTCCATGCCACAAGCCAGGCTGACACCAGATGCGATCACTTTCAATGCCACCATCACCGCCTGTGAGATGGGCGGAGAGTGGCAACTGGCCTTGCACCTCTTCCACGCCATGCCCGCGGCTAGCATTGCCCCAAATGTCAGCAGCTACAATGCCACCATGAATGCTTGTGACCGGGGAAGGCAGTGGCAGATGGCTTTGGAGCTTTTCAACGCAATGGCTTAACGATCCTCCACGAAGCTGTGAGCCACGAGGGAGTGGTGGGAAGTCCAGCTTCACTGTGCGATGGAATTAGTAGACCCATGTATGGGAGTTTGACCACTGCAAGCCGGTCCACTCAAAATGTGCTGCAGGAAGTCCACTCCCCAATTCAAAGAATCGCAACCTCAGACCACGACCGCTCTTGTCCCATAGGCCAAGAACACAGTAAAGTTTGCGCACATGGTTCCGGCTTAAAGCTCTGGCACATCCGGTTGAGGGCTCGGGGGGCTATGGTTGAAGATTTATCGGGCTTCAGCCTTGAATCCATGGGTTTATCATGAAGATCCTGCTACTGAGCTACTTCAGATCTACATCAAGGGTCCAAAGGCGTTTATGACAGAGTAGATGCAGAGTATTCCCAAGGGTCGTTGTATTTCGGTTCTATGTGCACGAAGAACCCCAATCGAACCTCGAAATTCCAGTAACTCCCAGACGCCCCCAGGCAGAGAAGCCGCGCTAAGCCACTCGCTGGGCGCCTGTCCAGGCCGAGCGACGAGCACTTGTGCATGTCTTTGTTAGGCTAGCGGCAGATGAGGCAGCAACAACAACTACTACTGCTACTGCCACTGCTACTACTGCTACTGCTACTCCTACTACTACTACTACTGCTGCTGCTGCTGCTGCTGCTACTACTACGACTACTACAGCTACTGCTACTGCTACTAATACTGCTGCTGCT